AAAACAGCTAGCTGAAGTTGATACAATCAACAAATTTATGAAAAAGCAGCGATTAAGATGGGTTGGACATATGTTAAAAATGCCGGATATGAGAGTACCGCTTAAGTTTTATGAGAACAAAGTAGGAACCAGCAGAAGAAGAGGGCGACAAAGAAAACGATGGAAGGACAGTGTGCAGCAGGATTTAGAAGAAATGAACATAAGAATTTGGAAAACAAAAAATCAGAGAAGAAAGAAAGGATGTTGTTAAACAGATAATGATGATTTTTACTTGGCTATCCGAATTAGAGAGTTATATTTTGTATTATTCATATTCACCGTGATCAAATAAAGAATAACAAAACCTTTATCAACCTCATACTAATACTATTAACATATAGTATACTATTAGTATATATGTAATAGTATATATAGTTTTATTAGAGAGTGTTATCAGCTATATACCATAGCATAATAATCACAAACTATATGTTAGGTATATGAAATGTGCAACACTGGTTTAAGGTATTCTAATATTTTAAAAGATATATCGGAATCATCTCAAATAAATCAAACAAGACTCGATATACTATTTCATTAGTTGATTTAATTACTAGTAGGTGAATTACTATATGCGATGATAATATTTTAAATATTTAACCTTGATTTAAATAAATTAATAAATTGTAATTAATTTTTAATACTGTCAAGTACAGTTCAGTGCAATTATCTATCAAATATCAATATTAGTTGAAGAGGTGTAATCACTAAATCAAATATGATTGAGTTTGCTCTTTAGATGATATACTCATATCGCATTTATAAGCTTTTCACATTCATTAAGATTCACTTATTTATTGAAATTCATTAATTGAAAGCATTTATGCTTCAATAAGTAACATTTTCACAATCCAACATTTAAACTGAATGTTGCAATATTTTTTGAATTAAAAGCGTAAATGCCACGCCACGCCACTCATTTCGGCTGAAGCAGTTTGAATTTTGCATGAGTAGCGTTTGAATGCGTGCGAAGGAAAGTGATCAGCCAGGCCGGGCCAGTTCACCGCTAATGAAGTTGGTTCAAAAAAGTTATTGCTTTCGAATAAAAGTAATCGCGAGGAAGACCGTAAATACCGAATCAATTAAATAAATAAAAAAAAGTGGTTTTTGAAAAGACATTGAAATTGATATTAAATGTTATGCAATTGCAAAAGAGACATTTAAACCGATCACATTTTCAAAATTGTTATGCAACAATTAATTGAAAGCCACTCGGAATACGCAAGTTTTGTATTAAAATTTAATTAAAAGTATTAAATATTATTTAACAAAGAAAAAAACTTTTTCAATTTTTAAATTAGTCCATTATATTTTCAAGTCCTCAGTCATCATCATCGATTATTTAATCACACATTTGAAAATTCTCTAACAATTGATAGACGTAACCTCACAAAAAATAATCCAATGATGAAAACCACATGACTTTAGTGAACAATTCTCCTTACCAAAACATGATACCACACCTTTGGTAAATTCCATGCACAATATAATCAAAACGACGCATGGTTTTTGGCACTGTCCTGTGGAAACCATATACCATTTACATCCATATTTTGGCACGACTCCGATTTTCGGGACAAGCCTATTTGACAATCTATTTTAATAAAAACAGCTATTTTAAATAACTTATTCCTATGCACTCTATGTCAATATAGCTTTGTTTTCGAGATATAGAGCGTTAAAGTTGAACATTTTTATATTAAAATTATTAACAATAAGAACACACGCCATCTAGCGCATCTTTTTGTTATTTATTGCTTTTGTAATCAATGTTTACAATCAAGTTTTTGTAAATGGAATCCATGTAACAACTATTAACATCGATATTCTGAAAAGTAAACAATGATATATTCTAAAGAGATCAAAGGTGTAGATCCCCACAAATCCCCAATTCACACAACTATTTAAGGCTTAGAGTGTTGAAACTATCCAGCACAATACATAACAATTCTAACTATTCTTTAGCTCTGCTTAGAAGAATTTAAACAGATGAAAGAATACTTTTAAATAGTCATGCTGAGATACTTTAAACAAAATGAGGTGCTACAATAAAAATGATATAGATTGCCAAGTTTTCTCAGTAAGGATCAAACATAACTGGTGCTTACTGTTACAGAGTCTATTAAATCGCAATTCACAATTTAATTTTTCTTTTGTTCTCATTAGTTTAAATTTTAGTATCAAATTCAAGCTTTTCTGTCTCTTTAACGTTTAGCCTGCGAATACGTTGAAGAACCTATTAGTTTGGGTTTATTACGTATTGGTGAACACGTCGAAGAATCTGTTGGTTCGGGTTTATTCCATATTGGTGAATACGTGGAAGAATCAATTAGTTTTGGTGTATTCCGTATTGGTGAATACGTGGAAGAACCTATTGGTTCTGGTGTTTTCCATATTGGTGAATACATGGAGGAATCTTACGAATGTACAAGACAATAATAAGGTAGACAATAAGGTAGCTGCATATGGCTCAGAAACATGGACAATGACGAAGGCGGACGAAGAAGCTTTAAAAATCAAAATTGATGCAGAAACTTTTCAAAGACAAAGAAATAATGAAATTGAAGAACTGCTTAGAAACGAAATTATAGTGAGATACTCATGTTTTGCTCATGTAATAAGAATGGGGTCGGAGAGAAAGTCGAACAGCATATTTGACGCAAACCCGATGACAAACAGGCACAGAGGTATGCCAAGAACGATTGGAATACTGAACTGGAAGAGAGTAGCAGAAGATAGGGACAGATGGAGGCAGATCGTGAGCGAGGCCAAGGTTCATACTGGACTGTAGTGCCAAATAAGAAGAAGAAGACATCGAGGAATTGGTTTTTTCCGAATAGGTGAATATGTCGAAAAACACATTGGTTCTGCTGTATTCCGTAATGATGAGTACGTCGAAGTTTATTTGGTTTTACTAATTCTATAGCTTCTGTAAGCTTCTTTCAACTAATTAGCGCGAGTTAAAATATATGAATGTCATAACGAATGTCTTGGTAATCTTCAATTCATAATAAGTCAATATTTGTGGTTTCTTCAGGAAATATTTTGAGATACCTTTTTATGGGTATTAATATGCTAACAGCGCATTTGTTGCAGAATGAATACGTGCTGCCATAAAAGTTCTGATGTTTTTTTAGTTCGAAAAGTTTTAAAAGAATAAAAATAAGATATTTAACAGCAACAACAAAAAAAGCGGTAAAAAATTAACCGCTTTTTTATGCAGTGACAGCGCAGGCGTGCCTCAAATTTCAAGTGATTTTTAAATGAATTCTGTTAAAATACTTAAAATGCGCAGAATTTTATTGAAAGAATGAATTGCAAGCAATTTTTAACTTTTTCAAAAGTCTTGAAACAAAGGAACTCAAATTAAAGATCGTTGACATTTAAGTCTACACAATGTCTTTCAAAAATAACAATTTTCAAACCTAATTTTTGGTTGACGCAATTGTTATAAAAATTACCGAAAAATAGGTGTGCACAAATTAAGTCTTTTTTATTGCATAAAATTAAATAAAAATAACACTCTAAAAAAAAGCTTTATTGGAATTTAAATAATATTGTTTTTCACTCTATTTTTTTCTTTCAGCCGTAAATTAAGGGCCACAAACATGAAAAAGGCCAAACGATGGCTTCTACCGATAGCAGGTGAGTTTCTTTAAATAATTCTTTTTCGATTAAAATTAAACCGAAATCAAGTATTTCAATAGTTAAATTGTTAGTTGGAAGATATTAAACTATACATTTTAAATTAACAATTGTTTAGTTGTTAATTTAGGTATTCAATTGTGTTCAATTGTTCTTAGTTGATTTGAACTTAAGCACAAATTAAAATATATTAGAATATTTATTCCCAATTCTAATTTTTAGTTTCTAAAAATTACGAGTATCTGTCTAATAAATTAGAATTAGACTCTAGAATCTAATGTTAGAATCTAAGATCTTTTGGACTACAAACCCCATTTCAAATTACAAAGGTTTTTGAGGTCAACCTCATAAAATAATCAATTTTCAGATTGATGGATTATCTGCACTATGATCAAAACTTTTGAGTCATATTTTCCCGTGTATACTCTGAACTTCTCTTAAAGGCTTTCAAAACCAATTTCCATTTGATCTGAGTTAAGTTAGATTAATCAATCCGGTCATAAGCCATACATAGATCTTTCAGAGGCTTATGACATACATAAGCTATACATAAATGTTTTAGACTGTAGCAACATCAGATGAAGAAACGCCTTCACGTAAATTTGTAGTAGGCATTATGTAGAATGTCGACACTTTTTGTGAATCTTAGGAGTAATTGAAATTTCTTTTTAGAGACATACAATATCTTCACAAATTATGGAGTCCTTAATTATTAATTATTCTTAATTATTTTAATAGTGTGCGCAACTTTACAAAGAAAAAGTACCACAACCGCTTTTTGTTCTCGAGCTGTTTTGCATTCCCCGTGTTCATCACTATTAAACATTTCCATCTTATATGCATAGGCTAAGTTAGATTATACTGACTATTACTAGGGGATCCACTAAGGTTTATTGGCTCATCATCTCTGCCGTATGTATAAAAAAACCCAGGATTTCAAACCACCTAGAACCATAGCCGAAGCTCAAAGTGGTGTTTACTGTCAGGTCTTGTAATTGATCAAGATCCTCAACAAAGAGGGCTACTAAAGTGTGGAGTCTTCATCGTGCATGAACTAGGCAAAGACAGAGTAGATGAGAGGTATTCTCAACGTCTTCCTCACAACTGCAACAATACTTTATTGTTGCTTTATTATTATTGACATTTATTAATATCAGACCAACCAAAATTTTAAATGACAAAAACAAAAGCCTAATCCGTGCTAACCACAAGTGGTAGCTACTTCTGGTACCATCAAATCTACCAACAATAGACTTGTAAGTGTGAAGACGTGCAGTATTATTGCTGTTCGTCTCTAAATTAAATACGCAAAGTCACTGCAGAAATTAATAGTGATAAACTCTGAAGAAAGATACATTAGAATCGAGTAGGAACTTTTCTTAATTTAACTAAAGATGGTCTCCACTTACTTACGTCAACCATTATATCATTGTTTGTTTGGCACTCAGTGGCATTTACAGAGACTCACGGAAGAGACGTATCTTTGAAAACTAATACAAAGTTTATGTGAAATTCATGTGATCTATTATATCTTGTGTATAATATTTTAGAAGAGTTTGAACCCTAAACCGGCCTCTATACGTCACTTATTATTATTATAAGAAATGATAATAGTAGTGTAACATACGGTGATCTAAACGACTTGTTATCTGTTAAGGGGTATTTGAATGCATAGATTCTATTATATCTAGGGTAAAAAATTTCAAGATATTTGGGAGAAGTTTGAACCCCAAAACCAGCCATCTATACGCCATTTATTATTATTATAAGAAACGATAATAGTAGTGTACGGTAATCTATAAGATCTATAAGGTTCCTTTCCTTTTATATGGAATTGATTATTATTATTAGAAAGGAAAATGCTGCACTGCTTCCTATTAGACTTATTGCGCTAAAGATATTGATGCTACTGTTTGAATCTCTTTGAATAATAAATTTAGTTTTAAGAAGATTTTTATTTTGTAATAGAATAATAAAAATATTGGAGTAATTAATTAAATTCTTAAACGATTTCTACTTTAAAGAGAATTAATCAAACTTTAATATTAGTTAATTAGTTCATTCAGTTTTTTAATTGTTAACTAAATATTTAAAAATAATATCTAAGTAGCCAGTTTATCTATTTTCGAATAGAAAAATCGTTCATTATGAAGAATAATCTGTATTACAAAAATTTATTTTTAATATTTATATGAATTTTGGGGCTGACCATATAACTTTTTTGATATCGTGAAATATTTATCGTCAGTAGTGTTTAGAAACATCTATTGGCTTAATAACTTGTAAATAGTTCTTGGACTCTGTTAAGTATCATATCCTATCAAATTTAAAAGATAGAGACACACATTAACACACTAAGCTAAGCAACATATTCCATAAAGTATGATCTACCTTCTGCTCAAAAAGTACTCGGATTTTGTAAATAAAACACACAAATTTAAATTTTATTCCAAATTTATTTTATCTCCTTCAAAATATGCTCCTTCTGAAGCGATACACATATGCCAACGCTTAACCCAATCTTCCATACACTTTTCGTAGGACCGTGCAGGTATGGCTTTTAATTCCTTCAGCGAATTCTCTTTTACGGATTCAATCGACTCAAAACGCTTACCACGAAGGGGCAATTTGAGTTTCGGAAACAGGAAAAAGTCGCACGGATCCAGATCTGTCTAATACGGTGCCTGAGCGATGACAGTGGTGCCGTCATCCATAAATGAAGAAATCAAGAAAGTACAACATAAGAAAAAAAATTTTTTAAAAAGGTCTATTACTTAAGGAGTAGTTAACAAAAAACAAAATCTGGATACTTTTTGAGCAGGAGGTATATTATCTTTTTAAAAAGTTGTTGTTATTTTGGAATCCATCTTTTTATAAATTCTATTAAATGATTCGTGTGATGTCCAAGTATTATCATTACTTAAATTATCAATTATATTATTAGTCCGATCTGTTAAAATAAAGCTGAAGTATTCAATTTATTTTTTTTTTAAATTTTATTAAATATTTTCTGCAAATATAATGAAATGTGTCTACTTCTATTAACCTTGAATACGGCGAATTAATTAATTTTTTTTGTTTAATTTAAATAAATTATTGGAACCCATAAAAAATTTCTATTTATTTTATGAAAATCAATTAATATTATTTTTTATTTGTTATTAAACTTTTTTTCTTACAGCTTTGTTGGTGGTGTTAGTCACAGAAACCGACGCAGTGGCACCGTTTAAAAAGGTTTCCATTGGTACAACAACAACAACAACCACGACTACGTCTACAACCACAACAGAAGCGCCAGCAATTGAAAGTGATGATGGAAAGGTAATT